TCTGTCTGTCTGTCTGTCTATATTATTCATCTGTTTGTGTCTCTGTATCTATCTATGTCTGTCTGTCTGTCTCTGTCTGTCTGTCTATATTATTCATCTGTTGTGTGACTCTCTATATGTCTGTCTGTCTATCTGTCTGTTTGTTTGTCTGTCTGTCTGTCTATCTATCTATCTGTCCATCTATCTATCTCTGTCTGTCTGTCTGTATTATTCGTCTGTTTGTGTGACTATCTATCTATCTATCATCTATCTATCTGTCTGTCTGTCTGTCTGTCTATATTATTCATCTGTTGTATGGCTCTCTATATGTCTGTCTATCTATCTATCTATCTATCTATCTATCTATCTATCTATCTATCTATCTGTCTGTGTCTCTGTCTGTCTGTCTGTCTGTCTATCTATCTCTGTCTGTCTGTCTGTCTATATTATTCATCTGTTTGTGTCTGTTTGTCTGTCTATCTATCTATCTATCTCTGTCTGTCTGTCTATCTATCTATCTCTGTCTGTCTGTCTGTCTGTCTGTCTGTCTGTCTGTCTGTCTGTCTATCTATCTCTGTCTGTCTGTATTATTCGTCTGTTTGTGTGACTATCTATCTATCTATCTATCTATCTATCTATCTATCTATCATCTATCTATCTGTCTGTCTGTCTGTCTGTCTGTCTGTCTATATTATTCATCTGTTGTGTGACTCTCTATATGTCTGTCTGTCTGTCTGTCTGTCTGACTGTCTGTCTGTCTGTCTATATTATTCATCTGTTGTGTGACTCTCTATATGTCTGTCTGTCTGTCTGTCTGTCTGACTGTCTGTCTGTCTGTCTATATTATTCATCTGTTTGTGTCTCTGTCTGTCTGTCTGTCTGTCTATCTATCTATCTATCTATCTATCTATCTATCTATCTATCTATCTTTTGTCATATATTACGGTTAAATGCCATTAAGCACGTCGCAACTCTTTTAGAGGGCCTGTATTTTGTAGCATATTATTGTACATTAGCAGAACATTCCTGTTTTTCTTGACCCTTGTTAGTATCAGTATATATGCTGCTTTGTAATAGAAACGTGATTGTTTCTCCGTCTTAACCTGTTTGAATCCCGTTCTCAGGTGATCTCGGCGGAGCAGAAGTCCTCCAAACACTGGGAGCTGACAGGAGAGGGCTGTGAGATTGCGGAGCAGGGCAGTCATGAATCCCGAGTGTTCAACGCCATCCCAGACAAGGGTCTGCCACAGAATGAACTCATGGTGAGAGATGAAAGAGTCGTCTATAGTCTATACTACTGGAGAAAACATGTATTTTGACTATAATGAGTGCCGCTAGGATGAATCTCATGAAAACAGAAAGTATTTTCTGCCAAGTTTATTTAAACATTGTCAATTTTAAAAAAAAGCTATTTTTTACTGTGGAAAAACAATGTTATTTAAATTTTGTTATTAAAGTATATTTGTAAAGTACAATTGGACATAATCTATATCATGGGAGTATGCATATATTATGCGAAATATACATATACATATATATATATGTATATGTGTGTGTTTTGCATCTGATATCTCATGTACCTTCTGATTCTTTTAGAAAATGCCGAGCGGGAAGGTTGGTTTCAGCAAAGCCATGTCCAACAAATGGATCCGTCTGGATAAAGCTCATGAGGGAGGACCAAGAGTCTTTAAAACCGTGAGTTACATGCTGCGCACATAAAGAATTAAGCCTGAATCTCCCAGTGAATGTGTTATTAATGTAGTGTGTGTGTTTCAGGTGGAAACTATTGAGGATACAGTAAGGGACAAACTACAGCTGGTGCAGAAGGGACTGTCGGCAAAACTAAAGGACAAAGAGAAGAATGAACTCAAGAAACGTAAACTGCTATCAGAAGTGTAAGAGAGAGTGTCGAGTTTTTGGCTTGAACTTGAAGTTGTTCATTTAATGCTACATGAGCAGTAGGAGGCGCTACAGTTCAATAACAATCTCATCCCAGTTGCCCACTTTTTCATCCCAGTTTTTTTTTTTTTATGGGAAAACTATATAATGTATTCCTAATTTGTTAATGTGTGAATGTTTAATTTCAGGACGGTTAAGTCATACCGGATCACTAAAGGCAGCAGCTTCAGTACCACCATCAACAAACAAGAGACAGAACTCACTCCAGAGATGATCGCCAGGTGAGACTAATCATTTTCTCAAAGGATGTAAAAATTGTAGAGGACCTAAATGTATTACACAACATCATGTTGCAAAGATGCAGTTCTGAAACACAAGATTTTCCTACTACTTCTGACTTGTGCTAAGTTATTAACAACTTAAAAACAGCACAATTTTGATTCTTTGTGTATTTGTAAGTTGCATGACTTGTGTTTTCAGTTGTGTTGAATAAAACGCTTCATAATGTTTCAGTGGAAGCTGGAAGGAGAAGAAGTTCAAGCCGTATAATTTCGAGGCGATGGGTGTCGCTCCAGACTGCGGTCACCTGCACCCGCTCATGAAGGTCCGGACGCAGTTCAGGCAGATCTTCCTGGAGATGGGGTCAGTCCTTTACCTTTGCATAACACTCTTCTGCCTCAGCTGATAAACCACCAGTTGTCAGATTTATTGTGTGGACATATTTTGGGCAAAATGATTTCACATATGCTTGGTTAGTGTTTTTGTTGAGCAGTAAAAAATTTGAGTGAAAAATTTTAAAGCGTGTCCTTAACCTAAACATTGTCGATAATTATAATTAGACAATATTGTGCCAAGTGTGTTTTTGTGCTGGTATCTTTTTTCTGGTTTAGGCCTTTTATGGACCGCTGACTCCCCAAGCTTTTAGTATTCATATTCTGTGCGATGGGTACTTCACTGTAGTGACAGAAAATAACTTCCACTATCCATTATGAGGCATTATTTGCCTCTTAAATCTGATTTCCCAGAGATTTTTTACCTGTATGACTTTTTTAAACCTTATTAGATGTACACATCACCCTTTTTGTCAAATTCTTACATTTAAGCAGTAAATTCAGATCAAAGGAAATCAGTATCAACAAAATCCATCTTGGCACTGCAGAAGTGGCACAGAAGCTGCGTCTGAAATGGCATTTAGATGTATTTTCATAGACTGCTCAGAGTTGGCTTGAATGCAATTTACAAATACTGTGATTTTTTTTTAATGAATAAATAAATTTTTGAATAAATAAAATAGTTTTTAAATGAATTATTGTTTTTAATAAGTATTTGATTTTTCTATTTATATATTTGTATTTTTAGATGGAAAGGCACTTTAAATGAATCTAAAACATCCAGTAGGTGGCGGCAAGTCACTGTCAATGATTTGAGTCACTCATTTGAATGATTTGTTCAAACGGATGAGTCATTGGGCTATTGAATCATTCATTAAAGTGATTCGTTCAAAACTGATTCATTCAGCAATGAAGAACCGCACTGTGTTGCTCAAAGATGCAAAACGGGTCTGCTGTGGTTTCTTTTGAAACTTTTCATTGATAAAATAAACCAGAACCAGAAAATGTTTACAATGTGGTGTCTAAAATCTAATATTTTGTCTTCATATTTTATTATATCAATATGACAATTGCAATCATACTGATTTGAAGTATGTGTGACTACCATAGTTACAGCGGCATGCGAAAGTTTGGGCACCCCTGGTCAACATTTCTGTTAATGTGAACAGTTAAGCAAGTGGAAGATGATCTCCATAAGGCATAAAGTTACAGATGACACATTCCCTTTATATTTTAAACAAAATATATTTTTTATTTTCATCTTTTACATTTTCAAAATAACAGAAAAGAAAAATGGCCCGCAGCAAAAGTTTGGGCCCCCTGCATAGTTAGTACCTAGTAGCACCCCATCCTCTTTTCAACTTCAGCTTTTTTACAGATAGTGTTATGTATGCTTCCAGAATTTGTTGTAATCCATTGTTCCCTCTGCCCGTGAAATGTTCCCCGTGCCACTGACTGCAATATAATAAAAATAAGAATTTATTTAACAATTCTTCTCCCCCGAGTTACGTCTTCCGCCATTTTGGAGAGTACCCAAGAACGTATTCGACATAATCACCGCTGTTTACGTTCGGGAGGAAAGCGGGCGCATGAACGTAATCTGCGTAAACAGCCTTGTTTACCTTTAGAGGAAAGCGTGCGTATATTTTGTGATGCTCTCTAAAATGGCAGAAGAATGATGAGTAATTAATGACAGAATTGTAATTTTTAGGTGAACTATGCCTTTAAAATATCGCAAAAGAGTGTTTCATGTTTAACTTTATGCCTTTTGGAGATCATTTCATCTTCCACTTGCTTAACTGTTCACATTAACATAAATTTCCACCAGGGGTACCCAAACTTTCGCATGCCACTGTATATCAATTATGCCTTCATACAAAACATTTGACTCCATAACAATGTTTTAATCTTAGAACGTTACTTTGCAAGCATATTCCTAAGTATTAGGTCTCTCATTCACAGATTCACAGAAATGCCCACCAACAACTTCATCGAGAGCTCCTTCTGGAACTTCGATTCTCTGTTCCAGCCCCAGCAGCACCCAGCTAGAGACCAGCATGACACCTTCTTCATCTCGGGTGAGGAATATCCACCTCTGTGCTTTCACTCATTCTGCAGGAGCTTGTACCACATACATTCAAAGCATATTTTTCAAACGATATTTTGTGTATTTCACAGACCCAGCCCTTGCTCACGAGTTTCCTCAGGACTATTTGGAGAGAGTGAAGCAGGTTCATTCTGAAGGAGGTTACGGATCACAGGGGTAAGATGATCCACATTATATTCTATGTATGCTATTTGTTTTTAAATTAGTCCGCAAGGTTGCATTAAAATGATCAAAAGTGACAGTAAAGACAATTGGTATAAAACGTTTCTATCTCAGATAAATACTGTTATTTTGCCCTTTCTATTCATCAAAGAAATCCTGAATTTTTTTTTTTTAATCTATAACAGTTTCCACAAAGACTTTAAGCAGCACAACTGTTTTCAACATTGATAATAATAATAAATGTTTTCTCGAGCAGCAAATCATCATATTAGAATGCTTTCTAAAGGATCATGTGACACTAAAGACTGGAGTAATGATGCTGGAATAAATTACATTTTAAAATGCATTAAAATAGAAAACAGTTCTTTTAAATTCTAATAATATTTCATAATACTACTGTTCGTACTGTATTTTTGATTAAATAAATGCAGCCTTGGTTTAAAAAAAAAAAACAAACTCAAACTTTTGAACAGTACTTTATATTTGTAGATAAATGTAATTTTAACATCTCAAATAAATTTTAAGATACAAATATGACTGGAAGATTGAAGAAGCCCAGAAGAACCTCCTGCGAACACACACCACAGCGGTCAGCGCTCGCATGCTGTATAAACTCGCACAGCAGGTGAACACACACACACACACACACACACACACACACAGGCTCACTGCTCGTTTCAACGCTCTTTAGCTCAGATCTCACTCGTCTCTGTGGTATAATCTTTCAGGAGAAGTTCACACCCGTGAAGTACTTTTCCATCGATAGAGTTTTCCGTAATGAATCTCTGGACGCTACTCACCTGGCGGAGTTTCACCAGATCGAGGGAGTGGTGGCCGACTATGGCCTTACGCTGGGAAACCTCATGGGCATCCTGCACCAGTTCTTTACCAAACTAGGTACTACACGCCTTGCTTTTTAATAACAAGATACATGAGTGTGTGTGAGATTCTACTTTTTTTTTTAAATCCTCATTATTTGTATAATTATCCATTTACAGCGAAGGAAGAATCCTGAATGTTCATCAATTTATTAATAAACCTGGTAAATTGCTCGCTGTCTGACTTTTAGACATCCCAAAGTTCATTGACCATGATTTTGAAATGTTTTCCTTCAGGAATCACAAAATTGCGCTTCAAGCCTGCGTACAACCCCTACACCGAGCCAAGTATGGAGGTGTTCAGCTATCATGAAGGTAAAAGTCTCCGTACGAAGTCATACGTGTATGTAATGTGCTACGTTTATATTGCTAAAGATAAAAACTACTGCTGTCAAACGATTAATCGCGATTAATCGCATCCAAAATAAAAGTTTTTGTTTACATAATATGTGCATACTGTGTATATTTGTTATGTGTATATATAAATATACACACACACAGTATATATATTTTTAAATATTTACATGTATTTTCATGCATATATGTATATTCATATAATTTATAAATATATTTAATATATAAACATAATATTTCGTAAATATGTACATGCATGTGTGTGTATTTATATATACATAATAAATCTACACCGTACACACACATATATTATGGAAACAAAAACTTGTATTGTGAATGCGATTAATCGCGATTAATCGTTTGACAGCACTAAAACATTAAGTCTTTTACAGCCTGCTGTTTTGTGGGTATAGAATAACTAATAAAAGACAAATTATAAAAAAATAGGTGGTAATGCAATAACCTAATTTTAGAAGCAAAACTATTCGATTAAGTAGTGAAAGTATTAATATTGAAGTCGACATGAAAAGGAAATTAGTAGTTGTTTTCTTTCCCATTGTGGTGTATATCCGAGTGAAACGGCTTCTTTAAAGAACTGCATGAAAATTTTAAAAATTGTCATTTTTATCAGATTTATTTGCCTTTTTTTTTTTCTTCTTCCTCTGGTAGTCTGTAAGGCTCTGTGAAATGACAGAAATAATTTGCAGAAGCGATATAAAACTTTAACACGTTCAACAAAGAATTTCTTCATAGCCTTGCAGTTATAGACAATCAGTCAACATTTAAATAATCAAAATATTTTCGGATTCAAATCAAAATTTGTAATGTTTTGTTTCACCTTGTAGCTGATTAGTTGTTTCTTGGTTTCTAACTCTTAAAAAAATAAAATTAAAAAAAATTCCCTGTTGGAAAAATATTGGTGTGCTCATGTCCTCCTTGGAAGTTCCTGTTTATAAGTTTGGAAGTCATAATTAGCCACCCTATTTGGTCTCCAAAATGCAAATTAACAAAAATATTGAAAGATTTTAGTGCATTTTTACTATGGTGAATCCAAAGATTCAATGTGAGCTTGACATCTAGATCCAGCATTCAAACTCGGATGAATCAAACATTATATCAACCATCCAACAAGTTTCTCGACCCTTTCAAGGGCATTTGCTGAGTTTATGTTGCTTTGGGCCTCGTCCAAATATCCCTTTTTATCCTTCGCCCCGCTCATCTCTGATTTCCAAGAGACTGGCTCCCGTAAAGAGACGCTCCTTTGAGACCATCCGACACCGAGGAGGAATTTTGGGTTTATTTGCGCTGGCATGGAAAGTCTAGACGTGAGTTATGTCATTAATACCAACTGAACATATAATGCAGAGTCATTCTGAGCTCAAGTTCTGTCACATTAATCCTCCTTTTGGGGATGAGTTGAAATGATGTTCACCAGTGCTCATAACAGAGCTTCCATAAATCGTCTTACACAACAGGAAAAGGTAATATGACTCAAGCAGTCCATCATACAGTATATATTTCCAAGTGACCTTTCAGAGTCCAAAAACTTTGGAAAATAAAACAGAAGAGGCTTCCAATGAAGTTCTAGTGATGCCATGGTTATAGGTTTGATTCCCAGGGAATGCGAATGATTAAACGTGTGTGTGTGTGTGTGTATATATATATATATATATATATGTGTGTGTGCAGTGGAAGTCACTTTGGATAAAACCGTGTTGTCATGACATCAGATTCATAATATCAGTTAGCACAGTATAATCTGTTTTGAAAAGTCACATTTGCATGAAGCGAACATGCACAAAGTCTTTTTCTGGTGCACGACTCTTGTCCATGTATGTTTTCTTTGGTCTTGGCCCATCGTACACTGTCAGTAAAGAATCATATAAGGTGGCCAAGCTTCACCTTACCTTCCGTCTTTCTGCTTTAGACTACCATGGTATTTTCCCAAGCTTTACCGTTGTACAAAATAAACTGGAACAGCTAACAGGTTAACCACAAGTTACTGTGAGTTTTTGAGATATCTTACCTACTATATCATTTGCGAGGTCTTTGATCAGATGTCCCACTATGGCATAGGCGACCGCGACGATCACCAGCGCGGCCATTAACAGGTACAAAACCCCCTTTGGCAAGGGAATGAGGTCGCGGGTCACTGGCTTGTAGTCTTTGAACATCGGGTCCTCGTTCGGAAAGGAGTATTGAAAAGCATGTCCAGTCTTATCAGTAAAGTTCAAACTTGTTACGTTGAGAGAATTCATCACCAGCCTTTACTTCGTCCAAAAATAGCGAGTGTGTTTGACCTCTCTTTCACGAACTTGTCGCCGTTGAAAGTTGCTTTGGTTTCTGATGAAAAACTCCTCGCTTTATAATAATCTTGAAAAGTGAGATAATTTGAACATATTTTAAAAAGACAGTGCATGTATATATTGTTCTGTTTATTCCTGAAGTTTTTAATTTAAACATTCAAACTTGTATCCTCACCTTCATCGTTGAAGTTGCGTTTCAGTTAATCAGTTTATTCTTCAATGCCTGTAGCTTTTCGTTTCTGAGAGTGTACAGAGCCTGTACTCCGTCTTCATACAAGTCCAACAAGCTCCACAGAAGCGTGTTGCGCATGCGCGTCTGTGCGCTGTCCGTGGTGCTAAAGCCTCTCACTGTCTCGGTTAACGTTATCAATCAGCCCGGAGTACATTTCCAAGACCGCCCATTTTCCGCCCGGTTTGAATCACTGGACAGAGGTAGATGGTTTCCTTTCACCCCGCCTCCAAGAAGTTGATAATGCCGCCGTTGGCCGCGTCCCAAGTCCTTTAATTCGCTTAATTAAGTCGGGGATTCCGCGAACACGGTGATCCCCCCGAAAAGACCTGTTTTCTCATTATAGACACCTGTTAATTCCAGTTTATCAGACTAATCTTGACTTTGTTTTGGGCGAAAATAAATCATTGTGCGTGACATGATCAGTCCAGTCCGACATGTCATGAAACAATTATTATATATTAAACTATTTTTGATTTAGTTCATGCATTGAATCGTAGCACGTTGCTTTGGCCAAGTTGCTATGTTGCTATGGTTACCACTTCAGGCGAACCCGACTTCTGTTACTAGCGATTTATTTAGCAGATGAAAAGACTCAATTTGACTACTAACCAGTTTTATTTTGGGGGAAATTTCCAACTTTACTGTTTGTAAAGACCCAGTAGAGTAAGTAAGACACACCGAACCTTTCTTAAAAAAAAACATAAAGCAGGACTTTCATACCGAAGCTTAAATAGCATTTCACATTGACAGAGCAACGCTTGTATGAGATTAGTGGTAGGCTACTATTATTGTTCTGCAGATTTACAGGATGATAGTCAATTGATAAAGGACATAAATTAACCTGAAAACTTGGTATGGATGTTTACAATACATATTTGAAGCAAGCTATTTTTTTTACAGTTAACCAAAACGCATTTCACCATAAAACTGGCAGAAAGGTCTAGTATCTCCTGTCTGAGTTTTGCTCTTCATGTAAACTTTTAGTTGGATCTTTGTTTGGATGCTTATTATGCTTGTGGAGTTTTTGGTTGTAAAAAGACAATGAAGATTAGAGACTGTTCTTTTAGTTTTGTGTCACGCTTAATTAAGAGCTTTTAAAGCACTCTTTTTATGTTGAGTATTTTTTGAAGTGCATTGCCACTGAGTAACATGAAAGTAAAGTGTGCCCTCTTTTAGACTCAATTCAGGACGAGGGGGCATCGGAGAACTCTTTCAAAGGATGAAAGTTCTGTCAGGATATTGTCAAATTAATTTTAAGCTACAGCTAAGCAGTATTCCTCTTACATAACCATTTGAGCTTGTGCAGGATTTGTTGATTTCGTAATGGCCCACTTCAAAATCAGCAGTGCTTGACAGAAGACCATGAGCCGCCCGTGTTAGTTGTTGTGTTGGACTACATGAAAGGCTTTTTATTTCATTTTGACCCCTGCAATAAGAATCATAAGAATAATTGCGCAAGAGTGCTTATGGGAGATGAATATATATATATATATATATAATTTTTTTGGCGTATCATATTTGATACATTGTTTTAATGGTTCATATGGGAATATGGAGCTCATACTTTGAGGAAAACCCTCAATTTTATTCAGAGGCCCAAACTGAGCAAAAATATGCAATTTAGTGCATATTTTTATGGGCAAATATAAATATCAATCTCAGAAAAGAAAAAAACTCAAGGCCAGTAATATTATACAGCTCTCATAGATCAAGCAACAAAATATGTTATTGCATGCACTGCAACGTTTTTTTTTATTTTTATGTGGACTTATTGTATGTGACAATGTGTGTGGTGGTTCTTGACATCGGGGCAAGTTGTCACACATTTCACTTGGGGAGGTTTGAGCAAATTTCTATATACTTATCATTTCTCATTTTTATTTGTGAATGCATTTAACACACATCTTGAAGTTTTGTCTACAGTCCTGGGACAACTAGCCCCAGACTCTCCTCTGTTTTCTTCTCAGGAATTGTGCCTGTTTTGAGGTGAACAAAACCCGAGCATTCATGATATTTAGTGCTGATGAATATGATCTTTCTGTGATAATGTGTCAGCACATGGGTTTATATCAGATACTGCCTCTCTAATCATCAGTAGATTGACATCATGCTTTCACAACATCCTGTTCTCTTCTCTGTGTCCCTCACTGTTTTCTATTTTTGGATGAGCTTTTAAATGAAATCTGGCACCTGGTTTGACTTTGAACATTTGTCCACCCAATTAATTTTTTTTTTTGCGTCCCTGCTAGAAGTCAGTGTCCTGGAAATTATGTGATAATACGCTCATGAAACAACCAAAACATGAGAGGAAAAAACAATAAACGTGAAAACATGAAATGATGTGAAAGTTAACATGAAATAGCAATAAACAATACTTCTAAAGCATTTATTAATTTCTACAATATTAAAATCAAAAGCTGTATCTCTTAACATTAGTTAAAGCACTCAACTAACATGAACGAACAATGAACAATTGTATTTTTATTAACTAACATTAAAAATATCGTTTTTCAAAAACGCTGAAAATTGACTCACCCTCAAGCCATCCAAGATGTATATGAGTTTGTTTCTTCAGTGATTGACCCTCTGCAGTGAATGGGTGCCGTCAGTATGAGAGTCCGAACAGCTGATAAAAACATCACAATAATCCACACCTCTCCAGTCCCTCTATTAACGTCCATAATAACGCTTCCTCTCATTATAACATTGCCCTCTCACATCAAAGTCCACTGACATATTTGTTCAGCTCTGTTTTGGACTGGTTTTTGCTTGTAAATAAAACTGGTATATTTCTCTCCTGATTCAGACGAGGCAGCTTTTTTCACAGAAGAGTACAACATTATGAATAAAGGACTTTTTGTTTTTTTTTAAGGTGGAAGCAGTGGTTTGATTGATTTCTTACAAACACACAGCTTTTAACATAACTGATTTAACATCATTGCTGGACTGGAGTGGTGTGGATTATTGTGATGGTTTTTATCAGCTGTTTGGACTCTCATTCTGACGGCACCCATTCACTGCAGAGCGTCCATTGCTGAGCAACTGATGTAATGCTACATTTCTCCAAATCTGTTCTGAGGAAGAAACAAACTCATATACATAAAGGTTGAACAATAGCCTTTTCTCTCTTTTTTTTATCATTGTGCAAATGTTTGTACTTTGCTCCTGGTTGTCCCAGCTGGCTCAGCAACAGCAGAGATTATCTGTGTCCTCTGATACTCACTCATTCATCTCATTATTACAGTCCATTATGTTCTGAGCCAGCGAGGCCAGGCCTGAATGTGTTTCCATTTACGGATTAATGGTTGCTCCTCAGATGCTGACCTGAGACAGTAGTGCAAACTATGAGGGCAGGTCTCCCTATAAAACTCACTGTTATTGGATTGCAAACTGATGGAGGATTTTAAGAAACTCTGTTGGTCTTATAACACAACACTCACAAAAATACCGTGTATTATTGGACATACATAGATTGTGCATACACACACATAGATTAGGTTTTTTTACTTTTTTTTTTTAATCCTCTAAATAAATAATTCAACTCGGATAAAAGTGAACAGAATTGCCACTCGTTTGTTACTTTGTTACTATTACGGTTTAGAAGAACCCCAGAGACACATTACTCGACGGTGACACATTAAAGAGAGTAAGTTTGCGTAATTCAGATTTGCTAAGCAACGAGCTAGTTACAATATAAGAATTGAACATGCTAATATGAACGCGAAGCGTACAAGTTTGACTTCTAATATTTGTCGTGAAATTCTGCATCATTTAGGTACCATATGAATTACATGTACGATAATAGTATCATTGTATTCTTTGACGTACTTTGGAGCTCAAAGTATAATCATGAAATCACCGCATTATGTTAAAATGACTGTAACGTTAGGTTTTGAATGATGCCGCAGGTTAATTATCATGTTAACGTATACATGTACTTGTATCTGTCATGTTAATGTTTAAATAAGTGTCATATATTATGTTTTGCAGGCTATGGCACAGCACTTCTTTGGAAATTCAGGCTCTATGGCCTTGCAGTCAACTCCCAAAGCTGGTCATCACCACTCATCAGCAAAGGTACATATGATTTTACACTAAAATTGTCAAATATCTGATAATGGTCTAGTATTGCTGCTAAAGTGAATTTCCTTTCCATTCAGGTGCCAGATGATGGTTTTAACTCAACAGGTGAAACTCTGTCGTTTGTTAGTCTGGATGACAGCAATGAGCAACAAAGGTGAGCCAGTAACGGAAAACTTGTTCTTGCTTGCTTGCTATTGTTAATTATGTTTACAGACAGTTTACCCATTTTTTCACCCCGTAACAGTGAGGACTCGGGTATCGGAGTTTCAAAAACCTCGACTAGAAGTTCGCCGGGCAACGGTACTATGGAAGAAGCTGCCGTGTTGACTCCCACAAGTTCACGAATAGATGAGATTGGAAAGAAAGCACAGGATCTTATTGAGAGAATAAATGAGAGGCGAGCCATGGACCAACATGTGATGAACAGCTTTGAGGATAAGCTCATTAAAAAGGTACTCAACACTACAACAAATGCAAAAAAAAGGGTAAAGACATAAGAAATATTAGTACTTGACTGATATTGTGTTTTTAAGAAGTTTTTGGCTGAAATAATACCAACATATGAAGAGTTCATTTGCAAAAGCAGACAACTCCATTTTTTTTAAATTTTCAAAAATCATGTTTTTTCATTGTGCATTCCAGTTAATCTCAATCAAACTGCAGTTGGGTCATTTTGATTATGTAAAAAATGACAAACAAAATAATACTAGATAACTAACACAATAAAAACATGATAACATAATACAAACATGATTTTTGAAAATAATAAAAAGTTTATTTTTCTTTTCCTCCAGTTGCAAATGGGGTATATTTGTAGCAATAGCCAACAATACATTTTATGGGTCAAAGTTATCGATTTTTCTTTTATGCCAAAAATCATTAGGATATGAAGTAAAGATCATGTTCCATGAAGATATTTTGTAAATTTCCTACCATAAATACATCAAAACTTATTTTTTTATTAGTAATATGCATTGCTAAGAACTTTAACGGGGACTTTCTCAGTATTTTGATTTTTTTGCACCCTCAGATTCCAGATTTTCAAATGTGACCCTGGACCACAACGCCAGTCATAAGGGTCAGTTTTTCTAAATTGAGATTTATACATCATCTGAAAGCTGAATAAATAAGCTTTCCATGGATGTATGGTTTGTTAGGATAGGACAATATTTGGTCGAGATACAACTATATGAAAATCTGGAATCTGAGGGTGCAAAAAAAAAAAAATATTGAGAAAATCACCTTTAAAGTTGTCCAAATGAAGTTCTTAGCAATGCATATTACTAATAAAAAAATAAGTTTTAATATATTTACAGCAGGAAATTTACAAAATATCTTCATGGAACATGATCTTTACTTCAGTTCATATCCTAATGATTTTTTGGCATTAAAAAAAATCAATAATTTTGACCCATAAAATATATTTTTGGCCATTGCTTCAAATATACCCCAGCGACTTAAGACTGCTTTTGTGCTCCAGGGTCACAAATAGTTATAGGCCAAATATTGTCCTATCCTAACAAACCATACACCAATGAAAAGCTTATTTATTCATCTTTCAGATGATATATAAATCTCAATTTCGAAAAATTTACCCTTATGACTGGTTTTGTGGTCCAGGGTCACATATGTAAAACTTTCATATATTTTGAATGCAAACACTGTACATTTAAACATTTAAGGGAATAGTTCACCCAAATTGAATATTTGCTGAAAATGTACTTTTCTTCGGGCCATTCAAGATGTAGATGAGTTTTTCTTCATCAGAACAGATTTGGGATTAGAGACTGTTCTTTTAGTTTTGTGTCACGCTTAATTAAGAGCTTTTAAAGCACTCTTTTTATGTTGAGTATTTTTTGAAGTGCATTGCCACTGAGTAACATGAAAGTAAAGTGTGCCCTCTTTTAGACTCAATTCAGGACGAGGGGGCATCGGAGAACTCTTTCAAAGGATGAAAGTTCTGTCAGGATATTGTCAAATTAATTTTAAGCTACAGCTAAGCAGTATTCCTCTTACATAACCATTTGAGCTTGTGCAGGATTTGTTGATTTCGTAATGGCCCACTTCAAAATCAGCAGTGCTTGACAGAAGACCATGAGCCGCCCGTGTTAGTTGTTGTGTTGGACTACATGAAAGGCTTTTTATTTCATTTTGACCCCTGCAATAAGAATCATAAGAATAATTGCGCAAGAGTGCTTATGGGAGATGAATATATATATATATATATATAATTTTTTTGGCGTATCATATTTGATACATTGTTTTAATGGTTCATATGGGAATATGGAGCTCATACTTTGAGGAAAACCCTCAATTTTATTCAGAGGCCCAAACTGAGCAAAAATATGCAATTTAGTGCATATTTTTATGGGCAAATATAAATATCAATCTCAGAAAAGAAAAAAACTCAAGGCCAGTAATATTATACAGCTCTCATAGATCAAGCAACAAAATATGTTATTGCATGCACTGCAACGTTTTTTTTTATTTTTATGTGGACTTATTGTATGTGACAATGTGTGTGGTGGTTCTTGACATCGGGGCAAGTTGTCACACATTTCACTTGGGGAGGTTTGAGCAAATTTCTATATACTTACCATTTCTCATTTTTATTTGTGAATGCATTTAACACACATCTTGAAGTTTTGTCTACAGTCCTGGGACAACTAGCCCCAGACTCTCCTCTGTTTTCTTCTCAGGAATTGTGCCTGTTTTGAGGTGAACAAAACCCGAGCATTCATGATATTTAGTGCTGATGAATATGATCTTTCTGTGATAATGTGTCAGCACATGGGTTTATATCAGATACTGCCTCTCTAATCATCAGTAGATTGACATCATGCTTTCACAACATCCTGTTCTCTTCTCTGTGTCCCTCACTGTTTTCTATTTTTGGATGAGCTTTTAAATGAAATCTGGCACCTGGTTTGACTTTGAACATTTGTCCACCCAATTAATTTTTTTTTTTGCGTCCCTGCTAGAAGTCAGTGTCCTGGAAATTATGTGATAATACGCTCATGAAACAACCAAAACATGAGAGGAAAAAACAATAAACGTGAAAACATGAAATGATGTGAAAGTTAACATGAAATAGCAATAAACAATACTTCTAAAGCATTTATTAATTTCTACAATATTAAAATCAAAAGCTGTATCTCTTAACATTAGTTAAAGCACTCAACTAACATGAACGAACAATGAACAATTGTATTTTTATTAACTAACATTAAAAATATCGTTTTTCAAAAACGCTGAAAATTGACTCACCCTCAAGCCATCCAAGATGTATATGAGTTTGTTTCTTCAGTGATTGACCCTCTGCAGTGAATGGGTGCCGTCAGTATGAGAGTCCGAACAGCTGATAAAAACATCACAATAATCCACACCTCTCCAGTCCCTCTATTAACGTCCATAATAACGCTTCCTCTCATTATAACATTGCCCTCTCACATCAAAGTCCACTGACATATTTGTTCAGCTCTGTTTTGGACTGGTTTTTGCTTGTAAATAAAACTGGTATATTTCTCTCCTGATTCAGACGAGACAGCTTTTTTCACAGAAGAGTACAACATTATGAATAAAGGACTTTTTGTTTTTTTTTAAGGTGGAAGCAGTGGTTTGATTGATTTCTTACAAACACACAGCTTTTAACATAACTGATTTAACATCATTGGTGGACTGGAGGGGTGTGGATTATTGTGATGGTTTTTATCAGCTGTTTGGACTCTCATTCTGACGGCACCCATTCACTGCAGAGCGTCCATTGCTGAGCAACTGATGTAATGCTACATTTCTCCAAATCTGTTCTGAGGAAGAAACAAACTCATATACATAAAGGTTGAACAATAGCCTTTTCTCTCTTTTTTTTATCATTGTGCAAATGTTTGTACTTTGCTCCTGGTTGTCCCAGCTGGCTCAGCAACAGCAGAGATTATCTGTGTCCTCTGATACTCACTCATTCATCTCATTATTACAGTCCATTATGTTCTGAGCCAGCGAGGCCAGGCCTGAATGTGTTTCCATTTACGGATTAATGGTTGCTCCTCAGATGCTGACCTGAGACAGTAGTGCAAACTATGAGGGCAGGTCTCCCTATAAAACTCACTGTTATTGGATTGCAAACTGATGGAGGATTTTAAGAAACTCTGTTGGTCTTATAACACAACACTCACAAAAATACCGTGTATTATTGGACATACATAGATTGTGCATACACACACATAGATTAGGTTTTTTTACTTTTTTTTTTTAATCCTCTAAATAAATAATTCAACTCGGATAAAAGTGAACAGAATTGCCACTCGTTTGTTACTTTGTTACTATTACGGTTTAGAAGAACCCCAGAGACACATTACTCGACGGTGACACATTAAAGAGAGTAAGTTTGCGTAATTCAGATTTGCTAAGCAACGAGCTAGTTACAATATAAGAATTGAACATGCTAATATGAACGCGAAGCGTACAAGTTTGACTTCTAATATTTGTCGTGAAATTCTGCATCATTTAGGTACCATATGAATTACATGTACGATAATAGTATCATTGTATTCTTTGACGTACTTTGGAGCTCAAAGTATAATCATGAAATCACCGCATTATGTTAAAATGACTGTAACGTTAGGTTTTGAATGATGCCGCAGGTTAATTATCATGTTAACGTATACATGTACTTGTATCTGTCATGTTAATGTTTAAATAAGTGTCATGTATTATGTTTTGCAGGCTATGGCACAGCACTTCTTTGGAAATTCAGGCTCTATGGCCTTGCAGTCAACTCCCAAAGCTGGTCATCACCACTCATCAGCAAAGGTACATATGATTTTACACTAAAATTGTCAAATATCTGATAATGGTCTAGTATTGCTGCTAAAGTGAATTTCCTTTCCATTCAGGTGCCAGAAGATGGTTTTAACTCAACAGGTGAAACTCTGTCGTTTGTTAGTCTGGATGACAGCAATGAGCAACAAAGGTGAGCCAGTAACGGAAAACTTGTTCTTGCTTGCTTGCTATTGTTAATTATGTTTACAGACAGTTTACCCATTTTTTCACCCCGTAACAGTGAGGACTCGGGTATCGGAGTTTCAAAAACCTCGACTAGAAGTTCGCCGGGCAACGGTACTATGGAAGAAGCTGCCGTGTTGACTCCCACAAGTTCACGAATAGATGAGATTGGAAAGAAAGCACAGGATCTTATTGAGAGAATAAATGAGAGGCGAGCCATGGACCAACATGTGATGAACAGCTTTGAGGATAAGCTCATTAAAAAGGTACTCAACACTACAACAAATGCAAAAAAAAGGGTAAAGACATAAGAAATATTAGTACTTGACTGATATTGTGTTTTTAAGAAGTTTTTGGCTGAAATAATACCAACATATGAAGAGTTCATTTGCAAAAGCAGACAACTCCATTTTTTTTAAATTTTCAAAAATCATGTTTTTTCATTGTGCATTCCAGTTAATCTCAATCAAACTGCAGTTGGGTCATTTTGATTATGTAAAAAATGACAAACAAAATAATACTAGATAACTAACACAATAAAAACATGATAACATAATACAAACATGATTTTTGAAAATAATAAAAAGTTTATTTTTCTTTTCCTGCAGTTGCAAATGGGGTATATTTGTAGCAATAGCCAACAATACATTTTATGGGTCAAAGTTATCGATTTTTCTTTTATGCCAAAAATCATTAGGATATGAAGTAAAGATCATGTTCCATGAAGATATTTTGTAAATTTCCTACCATAAATACATCAAAACTTATTTTTTTATTAGTAATATGCATTGCTAAGAACTTTAACGGGGACTTTCTCAGTATTTTGATTTTTTTGCACCCTCAGATTCCAGATTTTCAAATGTGACCCTGGACCACAACGCCAGTCATAAGGGTCAGTTTTTCTAAATTGAGATTTATACATCATCTGAAAGCTGAATAAATAAGCTTTCCATGGATGTATGGTTTGTTAGGATAGGACAATATTTGGTCGAGATACAACTATATGAAAATCTGGAATCTGAGGGTGCAAAAAAAAAAAAATATTGAGAAAATCACCTTTAAAGTTGTCCAAATGAAGTTCTTAGCAATGCATATTACTAATAAAAAAATAAGTTTTAATATATTTACAGCAGGAAATTTACAAAATATCTTCATGGAACATGATCTTTACTTCAGTTCATATCCTAATGATTTTTTGGCATTAAAAAAAATCAATAATTTTGACCCATAAAATATATTTTTGGCCATTGCTTCAAATATACCCCAGCGACTTAAGACTGCTTTTGTGCTCCAGGGTCACAAATAGTTATAGGCCAAATATTGTCCTATCCTAACAAACCATACACCAATGAAAAGCTTATTTATTCATCTTTCAGATGATATATAAATCTCAATTTCGAAAAATTTACCCTTATGACTGGTTTTGTGGTCCAGGGTCACATATGTAAAACTTTCATATATTTTGAATGCAAACACTGTACATTTAAACATTTAAGGGAATAGTTCACCCAAATTGAATATTTGCTGAAAATGTACTTTTCTTCGGGCCATTCAAGATGTAGATGAGTTTTTCTTCATCAGAACAGATTTGGAGAAATTTAGCATTACATCACTTCCTCACCAATGGATCCTCTGAAGTGAATGGGTGCCGTCAGAATGAGAGTCCAAACAGCTGATAAAAACATCACAATAATCCACACCACTCCAGTCCATCAGTTAATGTCTTGTGAACATCGTGTCTGATAAAGAAACAAATTCTACACCTTAGATGGCCTGAGGTGGAGCAAATTTTCAGTGACCTATTGCTTTGTGTGTCTGTGCAGGTGAGTAAGATGTGTCAGCAGGTGAAGGAGCAGATGTTTGAGTATTATGAGCAGCACAGTCAGGGCATGGAGGCCAGCATCACTGAGCTGTCGGAGGTGCTGGAGGGAAGCAGTCAGCTGAGTATGGAGCTACAGGGAGCCAGTCAAACCCTAGCCACCATCAATAAAGGCTTGCAGCACAGCACAGAGCAGTAGATACACAACCAAACCAATCAAACATTAACTTAATATGAGACGGGGTACACTTATATGATTTTTGTTACTCATGGTATATACGTGCATGATAAAAGAGACTTGTTTAATTTAACTTAAAAAGGAACTGTTTAAAAATTTCAAAATGTAAACATGTTATTTTTACAATAGTATGTTAAAGAAATGCACGTTAATATGCTAATTTGATTTGTATTTACATGTATTTAAAGTAAAGTAAAATATTTTTTTGATGGATTACATGGTTTACCTAAAGGTCTTTTACTATCATTCCTTCTAAACCCTGGCAAATGTGATTTGGGTAACCGCATTATTTGTGTTTCAACAATTTAGGTTTGAGCTTTGTAGGATTAAGGCTTTTTCCCTCAGCATTAGTTCTTGAAAACTCATTTAATCTGTTGCTAATTCTCTTTATGGCTTTCTTAGTACAAATGAGCTGCTCTAAATAGATACAGATAGCAAGATACAGCACCATTATCAAATTTAGGAATAGATAACAGACCCTAGAGACCCTCGGTACAATCTGGGTAATGAAAACCAATGTGCAAACACTATAATATTTAATCTTTTATTTAACTGCAGTAAACGATTTTGTTCAACACTTCTTTGAAATCTTTCTATAATACATCAATGTACAAACAATAACATGCACTTTTCATCTCTGCGATCCTTGGTGCATTTCTTTACAAATCTACTTAAAAAAACCTGCAGTCAAACATTCATTCAAAGTGTTGTGATCTAGTTAGAACATACAAAAATAGATCTCTGACAAAGGCAACATAAAGTACAGACATTCAAAATGACACGCATTAATTAAAATACTGCTACCAGATTCAGAGAATATTGTATTGTCAATTTCAAGTCAGTTGTAATGGTAAATAATGCAAAGTTTAAAAGCATTCAGGAACTATATGGGCTATAGGTCAAAGGCAGCAGCAGTCAGTGGACATGTGACAGCAGCTCATTTGTCCACCGTGAAGGACTGAAGTCCAGTGATGGCTCTGCCCAGGATCAGTGCATGGATATCATGGGTACCTACAAAAGAACACAATAATCAATGTTCAGTGACATGTAGAGCTTGGGAAAAACTTATGAGACTTTAGACATTAGACACTTAATGAAGCAATCAGGTTTTGATTAGTAATAGAATATCAAATAATATGAAAAATGCTCGAATGCAACTTGCAGACGTCCTCCAAAAATATCCAACTTTGCTTTGTAATCCCGATCACTTTCTTAAAAGCTCAAAGCATTACAAAGCTCCTGCCTGCGTAGTGACCAGGATCAGGAAGTTCGAAGCAGGGATTACAGATGGGTTTCCCTGTAATGCCTGAACTGATCAATTTATTCACGTCTCCTTCACTCTCTCTGACCTTCATAAGTGTTGACGGCTTCCAGGTTCATGACGTGACGAATGATGTGATACTCGTCTGCGATGCCGTTTCCTCCCAGCATATCTCGGGCCTGTCTAGCGATATCCAGGGCTTTACCGCAGGAGTTCCTCTTTAGCATAGATATCATCTCTGGAGCCGCTCTGTGAATGCAGTTTGGAGAGTAAAGATCATTAGCTTGAAAATGATTCATTAGGGGTTTATTTTTATTCATTTAAACATTGTTCCCACATTAAATCGCATTTTTAAAAATACAGGTATTTCCTGGGTTTCAGTGACCCCGTGCCAGGTATTTATTGCACCAAATATTTGTCTTTCTCAGTTCCAAACTCCTGCATCCTCACAAAAAAAATATCCAAATTTATAAATCCAGTCCAAACTGCAGCAGCATAAAGATGAACCTCACTTTCTCTCATCTATCAGTCGGCCCGGTTGAATACACGACTGCAGGCCAGTGGTGATCTCGGTTAACATGTCTGCCATTTTCTTCTGGATCAGCTGGTTTCTGGCTAGAGGAACTCCAAACTGGATTCTAATGGGAACATTACAGATTATGTTGCATGTTGAAAAACAACATCTGCAAGAACCATAAAGAATTTAACCGCAAGGACAGCCAATCTTAGCAAGCAATAAACTGGAAGCAAGCAAATTTACTTACATTAACATTTATGTATTGAAATTCTTCTACACTTTTCACATTATGCAGTCACTTGTTTATGAGTATAGATGGTCATTAGATAACAGATGTGTTCTGACCTGTCCAGTGTGTACTGCCGTGCTGCATGGAAACAAAACTCTGCGGCACCCAGAGCTCCCCAAGCAATGCCATAGCGAGCATTATTCAGACACCCGAACGGACCTTGGGAAACGAGGAAGAAAATCATGAGTATATTAGCATTATGTAATGAAAGTTGATACGAAATGAAAACAATAAGGGCTAATTATGACTTTTGTTAATCAGCTGATGAATCTCAAAATGGCCAGCAATTGGCCTGAATGATATATATATATCAGCCTTTTGTTATTTGTATGGAGACAGTACAAAACATTCAGCACAAAAATATGCATTGCATGTAGAGATTAAAGCACATCCATCTAATTTGCATTTCTGGTCCCTGTAGGTGGTACTAATAAGTGCAGCTGCATGAATATTGTGCTAGTGCTTGTTTCATTTAGCTTTTTTATCCATTTTAATTAGTATTTGTTGGGAAATACACAGTTACATTGCTTTTTTTTTAGAAGATAATATGTGTACTATGGGGGCCTAGACATGTGGATATCAACCAAAAGAGATTTTGGAAACAATTCCTCTGCTACCAATGGCACTATTTGGATATAATAATCATTTTTCTAAAAGTCTAAGGAAATTAGCTTCTTCCCTGACTGCTGAAACAGAAATAATACGATCAACAGAATACTACGACTGGATTCTGGCCGACCGGGTAAGAAATCTGGAAAAAGGATAATTCATTCAATATGCTCAATTGTTGATATTCATCCATTTTTATATGCATCTAAAAAACTGAACCACAGTTGACCAAACAAGGATTGTTTAATTCCTTGTACAGTGGGGAGAAATAAAAATCAAATCAATGCAAAAAAGCTCTAGTCAAAATCGTTCCCAAAGACAGACAACCACCAAATTTCAATGGTCGGATATATTTGAAAAAGTGTATGAAGGGATCTTCAGGGATGGAGGATAATTACTTCATCATAACATGGATTTACGGCTAATAGATAAACTACTACTGCTTTGATTTAGATCATACAAGGCTGGCAGAAAGCACTTAAATTAAAGCACAAAAATTGACATTCTGTTCTGATTCTCTGTTGATTTCTCTTGTGTCTTTACAATAAACCTTTGTCAATTGCTGCACACACTGGCTAAGAGAACAGGTCAGATTTCTAATTACTAAAAATGGCTTTACAGCTCTGGTTTCTGTAAGCTAGTGCTTAACCATTATTTTGAAAGACTTCATATCTAGTATTTATTTTATTTCTATCCCTACCAATAATAAAGCCAGTAAACATTTCTCGATGGTGTCTCGTGCAGTGTCTCGCTCACTCACCGCCAGTCCTGAAACTTTGGGCAGCAGGTTTTCCTCTGGCACTTCCACCTCGTCCATGATGATCATGCCGGTGGCTGACGCTCGCAGGGAGAACTTGCCTTCGATCTTAGGAGTGGACAGACCCTTCATGCTACGCTCCAAGATGAAGCCACGTACCTTCCCGTCCTCGCACTTGGCCCAAACCACGCAGATGTCAGCCACGGGTGAGTTTGTTGGTTCCATTGTCTTCAAGTCAGTGGGTTTTTGGTTAAATACCTGAGGTCTGTGGTGAACACAAGCTCAAGATATTTTCACAATTTACTCTTCAACATAAAATAAATCAGTAACAACCCCTTGTAATGTTTTAAAGCTTTTACTTATCTTGAAAAGATTTCTACTAGTCTGCAGCCTTCCTGTGTTTATAACTCGATTCTGACTAAAACTTTCAGGGATAATGTTCATTAAATAAAGACTTAAAGAGTTGTCCGAAGCTTAACGGTGGTGATGCTGAAGCTATGCGACTGTAGTCTGTTTTGTAGTCTTTTTCTTTTACTTCTAACTTATATTCAGGCTTCAAAATTTGTAATAGCTGTATTCATTTGAAAACATCATGATGAACAAATCATAAGAATTATAAACTTTCATTGATTACAGACCCCATATTCTGCAATAATCCAAAAGCCAATGGAAAATCCTACTGGCTTTTTGTCAAGTGAAACTAACTTGAGGGATGGCCTACAAAAATACATGATCACTGCAGTGGCAGCAACTGTCCATTAAGTGTGCATTAAGAATGCAGTCCATGGCACCACCATGTGGACACAGTTTGTAAATGCCAGAGAATGTTACTTAGCCTTCTCATTTTGTACAAATGGATTGTGATTTCTTGAGTTCATCCATGCAGTTCCATGCATTTGTGAACTTTTCTATTCTTTGCTGTTGTCATAAAGCTTGTGCATTACATAAGAGCGGCACTGAACCTACCAAGTCTTGGAGCCGGTGAGGGTGAAGGTGCGACTGGACGGGTTGTACTTGGCCCTGGTCTCCATGCTGCCTGGGTCACTGCCGTGGTTTGGTTCAGTCAGTCCGAAACAACCTAGAATCTCTCCTCGTACTGCACAACACAAAGACAATAGTGGGTGAATCTTATGAACAATACTTGAAGCCCAACATCAAAAGAAAAAGAATATAAAGCATTAAGATTTTTTGCACAGACACATTTTCTGAATGTTTGGCTATTGATTTTGTAGTCTTACCCAGTCTCGGCAGGTATTTCTCCTTCTGTTCCTCAGTGCCGTTAGCATTGATGGGGTGCATGACCAGTGAGGACTGCACACTCATGACCGAGCGATAGCCGCTGTCCACTCGCTCCACCTCACGTGCGATGAGACCGTACGCCACATAACTTGTGCCAGCACAGTCGTAACCTTGATAGGGAAGTGTGCATGAGTGAAAGAGAGTTACAGAAACGCACTGTATAGATGGTTACACTTTAAACAAGCAATCAGTTCTGCAGTTCCTGACTAGGTATTAGATGACAGAAGGGTATATTTAAAAAATCTCTACTATAGGGATGCATGATTTAGGGAAAAGATCGATTTGCAACTTTTCTGGGGGGAAAAAAAGTGATTATAATGCATTACAAGTGGCCCAAACTCAGAGCAGATGCAGAGATGAGTTTGTGTGGAGCAGCATTTACTGTGACTCGATCTGCTCCGAGACGCTGAAAACACTGA